CACTTTTTAATGGACACCCTGCAGCCAATCAGAATCGAGTATTCACCCAGACCATGGTATAATATTTATTAACAGACAGACAACAGAGACGTTTCATTTTACAGAACTGTTTTTATCTTCAGTTGACACTCCACCTTTTGAACTGTGTTGTTGTTGTTGTAGAAATCTATCAGTCTCTTTCAGCCACAATCTGCAGCAACTGCAAATACATCTTTAGAGGCATTTCTCCAACACCACGATGGTATTAATCACAGTTTTGCAGCAAACTGTTGTGCTCTTTCTTCTCTGTAGCCTTTGAGCAGCTGATTGATGAGAGTCAGATCATTCTCTTTCCTCACAGGATAAAGACTTGGAAAGGGGTTGCCTTTGTACTCCAACACGGCCATCTTCGCTCTGTCTAGGTTCTGTCTGTTGGGGATGCGTACCATCCGCGTATAGCTATGTGAATGAGGCTCAAACCGTGGAGCGAGAACCTTGAAGAGCTTTGGTACCAGATCCTTTTCCTGAAAAGAGGAAGCAGACTCAAACTAAACTTCACGTTGACTGTTTTACATTCAGAGCAGCACAGCTTGTAACTTCACAGAGCCGAGAAGAGTTGCAAACACGTACCGTCAGCCAAAAACTGGCCATTTTCATCGCCTTTTCATCAGTGTCTCCCTTTTTGGCATAGTCAACCAGCTGGGAAAGAAAACAAAAAAAAAAACACAGCAACAGTCTCAACTATTGTAAGTAGAAGAAAGAGAATTTTAAATCAGAATATGCTGCATGTTCGGCTATTTCCATGTAAAAATAATGAGTCCGTGCAAATACATAAATTCATCATTATGGGCATTTTTGGACAAAGCAAATTGTCATATGGTGCACTGGCTGTCAATCTAAGTCCTTGGACCCTAAAGCGTCCTGGAGGACGTCTCATGGGATCTGCTGCAGAAAGACTTCAGTTTTACTCTAATGACAATCATTAGGCATTTGCACAGTGCAACTAACTAATCACGAATATGGCCATGGGTGGTCTACATCCAAAAAACATGACAACAATAAGCACACTGCACCATCATCTACCAACAAACGCTGCATCTCATATCAGATAAACAGTCATATTTCGTTTGACTAGTTAAATGCAATAATTTACTTATTAAACCATTATTTTACCAGAAACATTTCACTTGTGATTGAGAAGTCAACGTGAACAGCTGTTTACTTCCTCGCTATATGCACTGCATGGCCACATGTATTTCCACATTTGGGAAAACTAAGCTCCTTATGTGTAAATGCTCAACTGAACGGCACAAAGACTTGATCTTAACCTCATGAAACACCTCTGTGGTGCAACAAAAAGAGCAAATCCTGCCGGCAGGAGCCAAAAACTTCTGAGAACATTATAGGATGTAGTAGCAGTTACTGCCATAGATCTGTAACATGATGTTCAATAATGACAAGATGTTATGTTTGCATGTCCACCTACTTTTACCACAATTATTATCCTGATTGAACTGCTAGAAAAAGTTTAGAATATATATATAGATTGCACATCAAATGCAGCGCTGCAAGGTGTCTCGGTGGTTAGCACCGTTGCCTCGCAGCTAGAAGGTCGCCGGTTCATATCCCACTGAGGACACCTGAGATCTTTCTGCGTGGAGTTTGCATGTTCTCCCCGTGCAGCGTGGGTTCTCTCCNTTTTTGACAAAAACGACATGCTATAGTATGACTTTTTTTTTATTGAGGCCCGAATACATAAAGTATTTCTTTCAGGAAGTACCTTCCTAAGCTGTCTTTAAACAACGGCCCCCCCTACAATATTTCAACCCAGTCCCATCGTGGCTACGTTTCACCTACAACTATGACATTCGCCACACATGTGTAACAACTCGTGACGCACAAAAAAGTCCATTAGCATGTTTCTGTGAACTCATCAGAAAATCAGCCATGTTGGAACAACGGCGAGCATGTCGGGCCATTTTTGCTGAAAAATGGCCATTTTTGGCCATTTTCAAAATCGAACTCCTCCTAGGGTGTTCGTCGTACACACCTGAAATTTGGCAGGCACAAACTACATGACGTGGTGATTAAAAGTTATCAAAACGCTCCGCAGATGAGGCCCGGTTTTGAAATGACGCCCTGTGCAATTTCGATCAATGGCCATTTTGTCCATTTTTGCTGTGTTTTTGGCATTTATCACAGTCCTGTCGAAAGGCCGTTTCACCTACAGCTACAAGATTCGGTGGGCATGTGTAGCAGGTCAGGACGCACAAAAAAGTCAATCAGCACCAAGTCCTAAACCCAACAGGAAGTCCGCCATTTTGAAAAGACAGTAACAATTTTGGTGATTCTGGGTGACTTTTGGCCATTTTTGGCCATTTTCAAAATTTATCTCCTCCAAAGGGCATTTCCTCCACGGCCAACACACTTGCAGCCGCGGCTCGCCACTAAACAGGAAGTGGCTCATAACTAGGCCGCACGTGCTCCAATCTGCCTGAAAGTCGACATGCCGGATCGGAGTCCCGCCGGGAACACGTTTGCGCCACAACCCGACGTGCGCGAAGGCCGACAAGCGTAGGTGCGAGGACCCGTCAAATGCCGCTTGCGGCTTTAATGATATATGTTCCCTTAATGTGCTGCTGCATTAGCCAAACCAGCCGCGGTCAACAGGGCAAACCTGGACAAACATTCCTGGAAATGAAGCGAATCCATTACTTCAGAAATAAGTAAGGGATAATGCCCGACGAGGTGTCCATTATCAGAAATTAATGGACGACGCGGAGGCGTGAACCGTCCTCCGCTTCGTGTCGGACGGTTGCTTCCGCGAAGTCCATTAATTTCTGATAATGGACACCTCGAAGGGCATTATCCCGCTTATACCATGGTCACTTACGAAAGATATTACTAAATAAATATTAAATCAATTATTAATACGTTAATGTTGTTTT